CCCTCCTCGCCCACAACCGGCCAAAAAGGGAAGGACCTTTCCCTTTGGGGGTAGGAAAATCATGATCGGGATAGTGGACCCAAAGCTATGGAATTTGGGCGTGGGTCTTTTGTCGAAATGGAATGGCTTTACTTTTTCTTTTAAAGGGGAAAGGGGAGGTAATATTTATCCTTAAATATTAATCTATACATGTCAAAGTGATGGAAAAGAAAGAATATCTTTTACGTACCCCCCCAGTTTGGCAACCTTTTTTGAAATGATACAAAGTAAAATGTCTCTGTTCAGAAAAGAAAAATTAACTTCTAATGAATTTTATAATCAGTGGAGTTATAGGAATGAACATAAAAAGAAAAAGCTAAACAATAAATTTTTAAATAGAGTAAAAACTCTCGACAAAACTCTAAATCTAAATAAAGAATTTTTTGTTCTGAATGTACTCGAAAAAAGAACTAGATTGTGTAATGATAAGACTAAAAAAGAATACTTAACAAAAATATATGATCCTTTCTTGAATGGACCCTACCGGGGACGGATCAAAAAATTGTTTACACCTTCAATCATAAATGAAGCTTCTATAAAAAATTACATAGAAAGGGTTTGTATAAATAAAATTCATGGTATCCTTCTTATTATTAATTACTTAGAATTTGAACAAAAAACAAATCCATTTGATATAAATGATAGAAAATCATTAGTAACAGAAATCGGTTATTTATTGAATTTAATCAATGAATTGGCTGTAAAATCAACATCAAGTTTAAATTTTCAAAGAATTTTTTTAGTTCCAGAACACGAACAAGTAAGAATTCATTCAGAGGATCAATTTAAAATTTTAAATTTTTTATTCGATGCAGTTAGAACTGTTCCGAACGATAAAACAATAAAAAAAAAATCTATTGAAATAAAAGAAATTAATAAAAAAGTTCCTCGGTGGTCATACAAATTAATCACCGATTTAGAACAACAAGAGGGAGAAACCGAGGAAAGTGTGGTAGAGGATCATGAGATTCGTTCAAGAAAAGCCAAACGCGTAGTAATTTTTACTGATAACCACCAGAATACTGATGCTTATACCAATACCCAAGAAACTAATAATACTGATCAAACAGCCGAAATTGCTTTAATACGTTATTCACAACAACCGGACTTTCGTCGAGACATAATCAAAGGCTCTATGCGCGCTCAAAGGCGTAAAACAGATACTTGGAAACTTTTTCAAGCAAATTTGCCTTCCCCCCTTTTTTTGGGCCGAATAGACAAATCTTTTTTTTTTTTTTTTGATATTTCAGCGCGTATGAAAATAATTTTTAGAAATTGGATGCGGAAAAACACAGAATTTTTGGATTAAAAAAAGAAAAAAACAAAAGAAAGCGAGAAAAAAAAAGAAGAGGACAAAAAAGAAGAAGACAAAAGAAAGGAGAAAGCGCGTATAGAAATAGCAGAAGCCTGGGATAGTATTTTACTTGCTCAAGTACTAAGAGGTTTTTTGTTAGTAACCCTATCAATTCTTAGAAAATATATTATATTACCTTCATTGATAATAGCTAAAAATATAGTCCGTATACTATTATTTCAATTTCCTGAATGGTCTGAGGATTTAAAGGATTGGAATAGAGAAATGCATATTAAATGTACCTATAATGGCGTTCAATTATCAGAAAAAGAATTTCCAAAAAACTGGTTAACAGACGGTATTCAGATCAAGATCCTATTTCCTTTTAGTCTTAAACCTTGGCACAGATCTAAACTACAAGCCCCTTATAATGATCCAATGAAAAAAAAGGATCAAAAAAACGATTTTTGCTTTTTAACAGTTTTTGGAATGGAAACGGAACTACCTTTTGGTTCTCCCAGAAAAAAACTTTCATTTTTTGAACCCATTTTTAAAGAACTAAAAAAAAAATTTAAAAAATTGAAAAAGAAATGTTTTATAATTCTAAGAATTTTAAAAGAACAAAAAAAATTGTTTCTAAATGTCTCAAAAGAAACAAAAAAATGGATCATTAAAAGCATTCTGTTTATAAAAGAAATAATAAAAGAACTCTCAAAAATAAACCCAATTATATTATTTGGATTTGGATTGAGAGAAATAGAAGTATATGAATTGAGTGAAACTAAAAAAGATTCGATAATTGGTAATCGGATGATTCATGAATCGTCGATTCAAATTATATCTCAGGGTTGGACAAATTATTCATTAACAGAAAAAAAAATTCAAGATCTAACTGATAGAACAAATACAATCATAAATCAAATAGAAAAAATTACAAAAGAAAATAAAAAAGGAATTCCAGATATAAATTTTAGTTCTAACAAAATAAGTTATGATGATAAAGGATCAGAATCACAAAAAAATATTTGGCGGATATTAAAAAGACAAAATGTTAGATTAATCCGTAAGTCACATTATTTTATAAAATATTTCATTGAAAGGATATACATAGATATCTTTCTATGTATCATTAATATTCCTAGCATCAATACACAACTTTTTCTTGAATCAACAAAAAAAATTATTTATAAATACATTAACGATAATGAAGCAAATCACGAAAGAATTGATAAAACAAATCAAAGTGTAATTCCCTTTATTTCGACTATAAAAAAGTCATTTACTAATATTAGTAATAAGAATTCAAAGACTTTTTGCAACTTATCTTACTTTTCACAAGCATATGTATTTTACAAATTATCACAAACTCAACCTATTAACTTATATAAGTTAAAATCTGTATTTCAATATAACGGAATGTCTCTTTTTCTTAAGAATGAAATAAAGGATTTTTTTGTTGTAACACAAGAACTATTTCATTCCGAATTAAGACATAAGAATCTTCGCAATTATGGAATGAATCAATGGACAAATTGGTTAAGGAGTCAGTATCAATGTGATGTATCTCATATTAAATGGTCTAGATTAGTACCACAAAAATGGCGAAATATATTCAATCAACACTGTATGGCTCAAAATAAAGATTTATGTGATTTATATGAAAAGGATCGATTAATTAACTACGAAAAAAATTTCGAAACAGATTCATTACTGAATCAAAAAGATAATTTTAAAAAACAATATAGATATGATATTTTAGCATATAAATCTATTAATTATGAAGATAAGAAGGACTCTTATATTTATGGATCACCATTACAAGTAAAAAATAAACAAGATATTTTTTATAATTACAACACACATACACAAAAATCATTTAATATGCCGGAAGGTATTCCTATTATCCCTTATCTAGTAGAAGATGATATTAGAGATATGGAGATAAATCCGGATAGAAAATATTTTGATTGGAGAATTTTCCATTTTTGTCTTAAAAATAAGGTCGATATTGACGCCTGGATCGATATTGATACTGACACTAACAGTAATAAATATACTAAGACTAGGGTTAATAAGTATCAAATAATTGATAAAATCAATAAGAGGGGTCTTTTTTATCTCACGATTCAGCAAGATCAAGAAATCAATCTATACAATCAAATAACCCTTTTTGATTGGATGGGGATGAATGAAGAAATACTAAGTTGTCCCATATCAAATATGGAATTTTGGTTCTTCCCAGAATTGGGGATACTTTATAATACGTATAAAATTAAACCGTGGGTTATACCAATTAAATTACTAGTTTTAAATTCTAATATAAATGAAAATTATAGTAAAAACAAAAGCATCACCGGAAATAAAAAAAGGGATCCTTTTATATCAATATCGGAGAATTCAAAAAAATCTTTTGAATTAGAAAACCGAAATCAAGGGGAAAAAGAATACGCGGTCCAAGCAGATTTTAAATCAGCTCTTTCAAACCAAGAAAAAGATGTTGAAGAAGATTATACGGGATCGTACATGAAAAAAAATAGAAATAAAAAGCAATACAAGATCAATACAAAAGCGGAGTTTGATTTCTTCCTAAAAAGGTATTTGCATTTTCAATTGAGATGGGATGATTCTTTAAATAAAAAAATAAGCAATAACATCAAAGTATATTGTCTCCTGCTTAGACTGATAAATCCAAGAGAAATTACTATATCCTCTATTCAAAGAGGCGAAATGAGTCCGGATATTCTGATGATTCAGAAAGATTTAACTCTTACAGAATTGATTAAAAGGGGAATTTTGATTATTGAACCAATCCGTCTATCTATAAAAAATGATGGAAAATTTATTATGTATCAAACCATCGGTATTTCATTAGTTCATAAAAGCAAACACCAAATTAATCAAAGATACCGAGAAAAAAAACATGCTGATAAGAATTCTGATGAAGCCATTACAAAACATCAAAGGATGACTGGAAATAGAGATAAAAATCATTATGATTTGTTTGTTCCTGAAAATATTTTATCACCTAGACGTCGTAGAGAATTGAGAATTCTAATTTGTTTCAATTCTGAGAATAGACATATAAATGCAGCATTTTGTAATGGGAATAAGGTAAACAGTCAAGTTTTGGATAAAAGCAAAAACTATAAAAAAAAACTTATTAAATTTAAGTTATTTATTTGGCCCAATTATCGATTAGAAGATTTGGCTTGTATGAATCGTTATTGGTTTAATACCAATAATGGCAGTCGTTTCAGTATGGTAAGGGTACATATGTATCCGCGATTGACAATGCATTAATAGTACATTTTTGCTATATTTCCCATACTATATCTGATCTATGACGACAAAGAGATGCACACATGCATTGTCTTACATTCCATCGTTCCATTCTGATACACGATACTAATTCAATGACATATCAATTTGATCTAGAAATGAATCAACAAAATATTATTATTTTAGGTCTAAATTTTTATCTTTTGTGAGTGCAGAAAACAACCATCCTTTATGTATACCCTTTCAAATCCAAATAAAATTTACAAATTAAAAATTTAATTTTATTAAAAAAAATTCGAAATTAATAACAAAATTAATATTTTTGTATATACAAAATAAAAATGAGAGGCATTATTATTACTGATCAATAAAGATATCTATCAATAAAAATTTCTTAAAATAAAAAGAGGGGGGCGAGAAGATTTCATTTTATGGTAAAAAATTCATTCATCTCAGCTATTTCACAAGAAGAAAAAGACGAAAACAGAGGATCTGCTGAATTTCAAATAGTTAGTTTCACCAATAGGATACGAAGACTTACTTCACATTTAGAATTACACAAAAAAGACTATTTATCTCAGAGAGGTTTACGTAAAATTCTGGGAAAACGCCAACGACTGCTGTCTTATTTGTCAAAGAAAAATAGAATATGTTATAAAGAATTAATTAATCGGTTGGATATTCGGGAGTCAAAAACCCGTTAATTTGAAGAGGCATTTTGAATTATTTGATTTATTAGATCGTGAATTTTAATGAACTTTTTTTCGTTTTCAGCAATTCATGAAAGAATGAATCGAGGAAAAACCGATGAATATACCAGCTACAAGAAAAGACCTCATGATAGTCAACATGGGCCCCCACCACCCATCAATGCATGGTGTTCTTAGACTCATCATTACTCTAGATGGTGAAGATGTTATTGATTGTGAACCAATATTGGGTTATTTACACCGAGGGATGGAAAAAATTGCGGAAAACCGAACAATTATACAATATTTGCCTTATGTAACACGTTGGGATTATTTAGCTACTTGGAGATAAATCCGGATAGAAAATATTTTGATTGGAGAATTTTCCATTTTTGTCTTAAAAATAAGGTCGATATTGACGCCTGGATCGATATTGATACTGACACTAACAGTAATAAATATACTAAGACTAGGGTTAATAAGTATCAAATAATTGATAAAATCAATAAGAGGGGTCTTTTTTATCTCACGATTCAGCAAGATCAAGAAATCAATCTATACAATCAAATAACCCTTTTTGATTGGATGGGGATGAATGAAGAAATACTAAGTTGTCCCATATCAAATATGGAATTTTGGTTCTTCCCAGAATTGGGGATACTTTATAATACGTATAAAATTAAACCGTGGGTTATACCAATTAAATTACTAGTTTTAAATTCTAATATAAATGAAAATTATAGTAAAAACAAAAGCATCACCGGAAATAAAAAAAGGGATCCTTTTATATCAATATCGGAGAATTCAAAAAAATCTTTTGAATTAGAAAACCGAAATCAAGGGGAAAAAGAATACGCGGTCCAAGCAGATTTTAAATCAGCTCTTTCAAACCAAGAAAAAGATGTTGAAGAAGATTATACGGGATCGTACATGAAAAAAAATAGAAATAAAAAGCAATACAAGATCAATACAAAAGCGGAGTTTGATTTCTTCCTAAAAAGGTATTTGCATTTTCAATTGAGATGGGATGATTCTTTAAATAAAAAAATAAGCAATAACATCAAAGTATATTGTCTCCTGCTTAGACTGATAAATCCAAGAGAAATTACTATATCCTCTATTCAAAGAGGCGAAATGAGTCCGGATATTCTGATGATTCAGAAAGATTTAACTCTTACAGAATTGATTAAAAGGGGAATTTTGATTATTGAACCAATCCGTCTATCTATAAAAAATGATGGAAAATTTATTATGTATCAAACCATCGGTATTTCATTAGTTCATAAAAGCAAACACCAAATTAATCAAAGATACCGAGAAAAAAAACATGCTGATAAGAATTCTGATGAAGCCATTACAAAACATCAAAGGATGACTGGAAATAGAGATAAAAATCATTATGATTTGTTTGTTCCTGAAAATATTTTATCACCTAGACGTCGTAGAGAATTGAGAATTCTAATTTGTTTCAATTCTGAGAATAGACATATAAATGCAGCATTTTGTAATGGGAATAAGGTAAACAGTCAAGTTTTGGATAAAAGCAAAAACTATAAAAAAAAACTTATTAAATTTAAGTTATTTATTTGGCCCAATTATCGATTAGAAGATTTGGCTTGTATGAATCGTTATTGGTTTAATACCAATAATGGCAGTCGTTTCAGTATGGTAAGGGTACATATGTATCCGCGATTGACAATGCATTAATAGTACATTTTTGCTATATTTCCCATACTATATCTGATCTATGACGACAAAGAGATGCACACATGCATTGTCTTACATTCCATCGTTCCATTCTGATACACGATACTAATTCAATGACATATCAATTTGATCTAGAAATGAATCAACAAAATATTATTATTTTAGGTCTAAATTTTTATCTTTTGTGAGTGCAGAAAACAACCATCCTTTATGTATACCCTTTCAAATCCAAATAAAATTTACAAATTAAAAATTTAATTTTATTAAAAAAAATTCGAAATTAATAACAAAATTAATATTTTTGTATATACAAAATAAAAATGAGAGGCATTATTATTACTGATCAATAAAGATATCTATCAATAAAAATTTCTTAAAATAAAAAGAGGGGGGCGAGAAGATTTCATTTTATGGTAAAAAATTCATTCATCTCAGCTATTTCACAAGAAGAAAAAGACGAAAACAGAGGATCTGCTGAATTTCAAATAGTTAGTTTCACCAATAGGATACGAAGACTTACTTCACATTTAGAATTACACAAAAAAGACTATTTATCTCAGAGAGGTTTACGTAAAATTCTGGGAAAACGCCAACGACTGCTGTCTTATTTGTCAAAGAAAAATAGAATATGTTATAAAGAATTAATTAATCGGTTGGATATTCGGGAGTCAAAAACCCGTTAATTTGAAGAGGCATTTTGAATTATTTGATTTATTAGATCGTGAATTTTAATGAACTTTTTTTCGTTTTCAGCAATTCATGAAAGAATGAATCGAGGAAAAACCGATGAATATACCAGCTACAAGAAAAGACCTCATGATAGTCAACATGGGCCCCCACCACCCATCAATGCATGGTGTTCTTAGACTCATCATTACTCTAGATGGTGAAGATGTTATTGATTGTGAACCAATATTGGGTTATTTACACCGAGGGATGGAAAAAATTGCGGAAAACCGAACAATTATACAATATTTGCCTTATGTAACACGTTGGGATTATTTAGCTACTATGTTCACAGAAGCAATAACTGTAAATGGACCGGAACAGTTGGGAAATATTCAAGTACCTAAAAGAGCTAGCTATATCAGAATAATTATGTTGGAGTTGAGTCGTATAGCTTCTCATCTGTTATGGCTTGGTCCTTTTATGGCGGATATTGGTGCACAAACTCCCTTTTTCTATATTTTCAGAGAAAGAGAATTAGTATATGATCTATTCGAAGCTGCCACCGGTATGAGAATGATGCATAATTATTTTCGTATCGGAGGAGTAGCGGCCGATCTACCTCATGGTTGGATAGATAAGTGTTTGGATTTCTGCGATTATTTTTTAACAAGAGTTGCTGAATATCAAAAACTTATTACACGAAATCCTATTTTTTTAGAACGAGTCGAGGGAGTAGGCATTATTGGTAGAGAGGAAGTAATAAATTGGGGTTTATCGGGACCAATGCTGCGAGCTTCCGGAATACAATGGGATCTTCGTAAAGTTGATCGTTATGAATGTTACGACGAATTTGATTGGGAGGTACAGTGGCAAAAAGAAGGAGATTCATTGGCTCGTTATCTAGTCCGAATTGGTGAAATGATAGAATCTATAAAAATCATTCAACAGGCTCTGGAAGGAATTCCAGGGGGACCCTATGAGAATTTAGAAATACGATACTTTGATAGAGAAAGGAATCCGGAATGGAATGATTTTGAATATCGATTTATTAGTAAAAAGCCTTCTCCTACATTTGAATTGCCGAAACAAGAACTTTATGTGAGAGTCGAAGCCCCAAAGGGAGAGCTGGGAATTTTTCTGATAGGGGATCAGAGTGGTTTTCCTTGGAGATGGAAAATCCGCCCCCCGGGTTTTATCAATTTGCAAATTCTTCCTCAGTTAGTTAAAAGAATGAAATTGGCTGATATTATGACGATACTAGGTAGTATAGATATCATTATGGGAGAAGTTGATCGTTGAAATGATAATTGATACACCAGAAGTACAAGATATTGATTCTTTTTCTAGATTAGAGTTTTTAAAAGAGGTTTATGGAATTATATGGGTGCTTATTCCTATTTTGACTCTTGTATTGGGAATCACAATAGGTGTACTGGTAATTGTATGGTTAGAAAGAGAAATATCCGCAGGGATACAACAACGTATTGGACCTGAATACGCCGGCCCTTTGGGAATTCTTCAAGCTCTAGCAGATGGAGCAAAACTGGTTTTCAAAGAAAATCTTCTTCCATCTAGGGGGGATACCCGTTTATTCAGTATCGGGCCATCCATAGCAGTCATATCAATTTTAGTAAGCTATTCAGTAGCTCCTTTTGGCTATCACCTTGTTTTAGCGGATCTCAATATCGGTGTTTTTTTATGGATTGCCATTTCTAGTATTGCTCCAATTGGACTTCTTATGTCAGGGTACGGGTCAAATAATAAATATTCCTTTTTAGGTGGTCTACGAGCTGCTGCTCAATCGATTAGTTATGAAATACCATTAACTTTATGTGTGTTATCAATATCTCTACGTGCGATTCGTTGATACATAGACATAAACTTTTCTTTATTCCTTCCTTTCAAAGAAAGGGTTGGAATGAATTAAGTATATGTAGATATCTTCATTTTTTTTATTCATTATTCGGGTTGATGAACTAAATCAAATAGTTATATGAGTGAAAGAAAACAGCTTATATATAAATTCGCAGTAAAAAGATTGAGTCTCATTTTCTATGTATAAGAGTTAGAGAGTTAAGCGGAAATAAACATAAGCAGAAGCGACCGTTTCCCCCAAGATCGGTTGATTAGTCATCCTGACTTGAAGCGGGCTCAAAAGATCAACCATATTGAGTTTTCACTATCATTTGTATGTATTACCACAGGGGGGGGTTGAACAAAAACGAGTGGGTGGTTAGAAACACCAAGATATGTAAAGGATTAGTAATTGAGATTATGTAAATTCTCCAAAAGGACATTTTTACATAATATACAAACAAAGAATACTCATTGGGGCTTTAAGTTGGTAGAAATGATCAGGCAATACTCCCCACGACACGATTCCAATCCAGAGTATGCTCCTATCCACCGATTATCTATTAACTTTATGTGTGTTATCAATATCTCTACGTGCGATTCGTTGATACATAGACATAAACTTTTCTTTATTCCTTCCTTTCAAAGAAAGGGTTGGAATGAATTAAGTATATGTAGATATCTTCATTTTTTTTATTCATTATTCGGGTTGATGAACTAAATCAAATAGTTATATGAGTGAAAGAAAACAGCTTATATATAAATTCGCAGTAAAAAGATTGAGTCTCATTTTCTATGTATAAGAGTTAGAGAGTTAAGCGGAAATAAACATAAGCAGAAGCGACCGTTTCCCCCAAGATCGGTTGATTAGTCATCCTGACTTGAAGCGGGCTCAAAAGATCAACCATATTGAGTTTTCACTATCATTTGTATGTATTACCACAGGGGGGGGTTGAACAAAAACGAGTGGGTGGTTAGAAACACCAAGATATGTAAAGGATTAGTAATTGAGATTATGTAAATTCTCCAAAAGGACATTTTTACATAATATACAAACAAAGAATACTCATTGGGGCTTTAAGTTGGTAGAAATGATCAGGCAATACTCCCCACGACACGATTCCAATCCAGAGTATGCTCCTATCCACCGATTAAATAAATAACTATTGGGAACGAAATAATCCTTTACTTTATTTTGTAAGCCCCCTTTTTCTCAGAAATAGAAAGAAGAATAGGAACGAAAAAAAGAGAAAGAAATCCAATTCCAATAAAAAAATAAAAAAGATACCTTTTTTATTTCCCAGATACATATTAATAGATATAGAATTTGTGTCATAATTCATGAATTAATTATAGAATTTTTTTCGTACGTGAAATAAACGGGTTATTGATATTTCTACAATAAGTATTTTATTGAAGAATTAAGTTATTACTCAACAAAGAAGAATTAAAATTCTTATTGAAATTATTAAAGTTAAAGAAAGGGTGAGATCGATTCAGAAGTACTTTTTTATTTATTATTAAATAATTATAACAGACAGAATTCAATTGGTCTAATTTAGGACCGTCCAATAGATTTTTACTTTATCCATCCTACAAACGTACCAAGATAAAATAATACTGACGCGATCCTTAGATTTATTTCTGGCCTTTAAGGAGCCGTATGAGGTGAAAATCTCATGTACGGTTCTGTAATAGCGATGGTAACAGTAATGGTATCACCGACTATAATTATCTAACAGTTCAAGTACAATTGATATAGTTGAGGCGCAATCAAAATACGGTTTTTGGGGATGGAATTTGTGGCGTCAGCCTATAGGGTTTATCATTTTTATCATTTCTTCCCTAGCAGAATGTGAGAGATTACCTTTTGATTTACCCGAAGCAGAAGAAGAATTAGTAGCAGGTTATCAAACCGAATACTCGGGTATAAAATTTGGTTTATTTTATGTTGCTTCCTATCTAAACCTATTAGTTTCTTCATTATTTGTAACAGTTCTTTACTTGGGAGGTTGGAATATCTCTATTCCGGACATATATGTTTCTGAGCTTTTTGAAATAAATAAAACATGTGGAGTTTTTGGAGCGACAATCGGTATCTTTATTACATTAGCTAAAACTTATTTGTTCTTGTTCATTCCTATCACAACAAGATGGACTTTACCAAGGCTAAGAATGGACCAACTATTGAATCTTGGATGGAAATTTCTTTTACCTATTTCTCTCGGTAATCTATTATTAACAACTTCTTCCCAACTCTTTTCACTGTAAGGTAAATTTACAACTTGTCTCAAACAAGAGAAATAAACAAACATAAAATTATTCATAATATATATTAATGATATGTTCTCTATGGTAACTGGGTTCATGAATTATGGTCAACAAACAGTACGAGCTGCAAGGTACATTGGTCAAAGTTTCATGATTACTTTATCTCACGCAAATCGTTTACCTGTAACTAGTCAATATCCTTATGAAAAATTAATCACCGCGGAGCGTTTCCGCGGTCGAATCCATTTTGAATTTGATAAATGTATTGCTTGTGAAGTATGTGTTCGTGTATGTCCTATAGATCTACCCGTTGTTGATTGGAAATTGGAAACTGATATTCGCAAGAAACGGTTGCTTAATTACAGTATTGATTTCGGAGTCTGTATATTTTGTGGTAATTGCGTTGAGTATTGTCCAACAAATTGTTTATCAATGACTGAAGAATATGAACTTTCTACTTATGATCGTCACGAATTGAATTATAATCAAATTGCTTTGGGTCGTTTACCAATGTCAGTAATTGACGATTATACAATTCGAACAATTTTTAATTCGCCTCAAAAAAAAAAAAGTAAATCTCTTGATTAAAGAATAATTTATAATTACTTTACTAAGACTATTACTTTACTAATAAATAATACTAAGGTTCATTTTTTTTGATCTAATCTAAAGGAATCGGGTTTCTTTCGTTTTGTTTGGTCAATAACTACAAATCCCAACTGTTGATTAGTTGGTTAAGAATCACGTCTTAATTTGGATTGAAAATACATTAATTAATATATCTGTAATTATTTTGACATATATAGTTTCAAATGAGAACTACTCCTTCAGATAACGAATTAAATTAGTCCAACAATTGTACTTACATTTATTCATATCCCTTAGGATTTAATTAGGAATTGCTCAAAAATTAGAATTTTTTTCTGTTCGGATTTCAATAAGGTCATGAAAAACATTTCGATTTATTTATCTCTTATTTTACATATAATGGATTTGCCCGGACCAATACATGATTTTCTTTTAGCCTTTCTGGGATCGGTTCTTATACTAGGAGGTATGGGAGAGGTATTATTTACCAACCCCATTTATTCTGCCTTTTCATTGGGACTGGTTCTTGTTTGTATATCCTTATTCTATATTCTATTAAACTCCTATTTTGTAGCTGCTGCACAACTCCTTATTTACGTGGGAGCTATAAATGTTTTAATCGTATTTGCTGTGATGTTTATGAATGGTTCAGAATATTACAAAGATTTGAATCTTTGGACCGTTGGGGATGGGGTTACTTTGCCAGTTTGTACAAGTATTTTTGTTTTACTCATGATTACTATTACAGATACGTCATGGTACGGGATTATTTGGACTACAAGATCAAACCAGATTATAGAACAAGATTTGATAAGTAATAGTCAACAAATTGGAATTCATTTATCAACGGATTTTTTTCTTCCGTTTGAATTCGTTTCGATAATTCTTTTAGCCGCTTTGATAGGTGCAATTGCCGTGGCGCGACAGTAATAAATCTATAGAATTGGCAACAGCAATCCAAATTAAACTGTTTTATTACATTTATTTCCCTTCAATTAAAGGTTCTTTATGTCTAAAATATAAATTATTTTATTCAATCTATTCTATTACCAATAGAATATATTCCTTTGTTCTGTACTTTTTTTTATTCTAGTCAATTGAATCTGTTTAATTGTTGTTCAGTTCATATTGAAATGAATCGAAATTGATAAGGAGTTGGTCAATGATGCTCGAGCATGTACTTGTTTTGAGTGCCTACTTATTTTCTATCGGTATCTATGGATTGATCACGAGTCGAAATATGGTTAGAGCCCTTATGTGTCTTGAACTTATACTGAATGCGGTTAATATAAATTTCGTAACATTTTCTGATTTTTTTGATAGTCGCCAATTAAAAGGAAATATTTTCTCAATTTTTGTTATAGCTATTGCAGCCGCTGAAGCAGCTATTGGTCCGGCTATTGTTTCGTCAATTTATCGTAACAGAAAATCAACTCGTATCAATCAATCAAATTTGTTGAATAAGTAGTATTAATAATCATATAAATTCTAATATTCATAAATTATAATTACCATGACCATACATTACGTATAATACATGTTTTCGAAAATGTAAAAAATCAATGTAAGAAATCAAAGTATCTTGGTTCTATCGCACGGGTCGATCCAGAAGTAGATTGATTATAAAAATTCTGATAAATTATTGATTCATCTGGTGTCTAAATATATGATTCATTTACAAGTTTACTAGATCGAAAATTTCTGACATTTAAAAATTTATAGATCCAATGTCACATTCAGTAAAGATTTATGATACGTGTATAGGGTGCACTCAATGTGTGCGAGCCTGCCCAACAGATGTATTAGAAATGATACCTTGGGACGGATGTAAGGCTAAGCAAATTGCTTCCGCTCCAAGAACAGAGGACTGTGTCGGTTGTAAGAGATGTGAATCCGCCTGTCCAACGGATTTCTTGAGTGTTCGAGTTTATTTATGGCATGAAACAACTCGAAGTATGGGTCTAGCTTATTAATACGTTCCAGAAAACCCTACTTGAAATACATTTTTTTACCTTTACCGACAAAAACCCGCGCTCAAAAAATATTTATTTTGAGCACGGGTTTTTCTGGTCCAAGTTTATCTTGTTTTTACCATGAATTATTTTCCTTGGTTAACACTAGTTGTAGTTTTGCCAATATTCGCGGGTTCCTTAATTTTCTTTCTCCCTCATAGAGGAAATAAGGTAATCCGTTGGTATACTATATGTATATGTTTAACAGAACTACTTCTAACAACCTATGCATTCGGTTATCGTTTCCAATTGGATGATCCATTAATGCAACTGACAGAGGATTATAAATGGATCAATTTTTTTGATTTTTACTGGAGATTGGGAATAGATGGAATTTCTATAGGACCTATTTTACTGACAGGATTTATCACAACTTTAGCTACTTTAGCGACTCGGCCGGTTACTCGAGATTCCCGACTATTCCATTTCCTGATGTTAGCAATGTATAGCGGTCAAATAGGACCATTTTCTTCTCGAGACCTTTTACTTTTTTTCATCATGTGGGAGTTAGAATTAATTCCAGTTTATTTACTTCTATCCATGTGGGGGGGAAAGAAACGTTTGTATTCAGCTACAAAATTTATTTTGTACACTGCAGGAAGTTCTGTTTTTTTATTAATAGGAGTTCTGGGTATTGGTTTATACGGCTCCAATGAACCGACATTAAATTTTGAAACATCAGCTAATC